TGCAGCCCGCAGGAAAAAAGGAAAGAGAAGAATTTCCGCACCGCAGGAAGAGATGAGGAAATGGGAGTTGGGACGAAAATGCTTGGATTTGGAGTGGTAGGGTTTAAGTTTTTTATTCATTTGAGAATAAAATGGTAAATAAAAAAAAATTTTAAAATTAAAAAAATTGTCAAAAAATTTGTTGGGGGAGGAGGGGGGACCCCTGCCTCCGCCCGTGCTGACCACTCGCCGTCAAGTTTTGCAATAAATCAACATTGTAACCTCAACACTGTCTTTCTTAAGTACTCCACTACCATTGTCACTGCAGCATCTGCCACATCCAAACAGATTTGTCTCTATAACACACACCCGAAAAAAATAGAAACGAGTTCGACGGGCAGTGGGCGACGTTGGGCTTCGACGATGTGGGTCTAGGAGATGGGGGTGGATTTGTGAAGAATTGAATTAAGTGACAGGGTGGGGTAGTGTGATGAAGGGTAGGATGTAGTATATACCCGATTTTTGAAAAGATAAACTTAAATTATAATTTTTGAAATAAAAAGATAAAAAAAAAAAGATGGATGTAAATTTGCTTTCTTGTAAGAAAATTACAATAGGCTTAGCACTTCTTTTAGATCCTTCCATTTGAAAAATCTAGCAGTACTTCTATAAGTTAACATATTCGTGGATTTTTTTATTTTAACATAAAAATATCTTAGAGAAAAAAATCATGACTATCATACTTTAAGAATACAATTTCAAAATATCAAACTCATAGAATTCCTTCCAAAATCAGGTCATAAATCAATGTTATATTTCCTAAAATTATAAATATATGAATTTTAAATAATAGAATAATGTGACTTAAATTGAGTAATTGGTAAAATCAATAATGGAGTATTTGTGTTAAAATATGATTTCAAAACACTGCTTTGACTCCTTGTAGTTTTCTACCTCTTCAAGATTTTTTCAAAGCAAACAACCAACTCTAAATGTACCTCCAAAATATAATTCGAGTAACACCGAAATTCTGACAAATATATTGTTCTATTTTGTAGCTTCATTTTTTTTTATTTTTTATTTTTTGTTTTGAATGCGATCTAAA